TAGCGCCCACACCGGAGGTGGAAGCTGAGCTTGATGGGCACGCCTTCGGGAGCGGTGTAGCTGGAGAAGGACAGAGGCGTTTAGAGATATGCCAACAGCTTTGGCGCACACATGGTTTTGAAGGGATATGGTTGATGTGTTTGCGAAGCGTAAGGGACTCACCTCCATCCTCCCGAGGACTCCTGGCCATCAGCCTGTTTTCCGGCCTCGTTCCTGGCGATGCCGTTTCCAGTCTCGAAGTCGAAGGTGTACTCGCCGTAGGCGTTCTGTGTGCGGTCGTCCTTGAGGATCGGGATGGGCGTCTTGTAGCTGTCGGCGACGACCACGGCCACCAGGCAGGCGAGCTGTGTGGGGATTCAAGCATGAGAATCACAAATACAAAGACATTTTCATGAATTCCTTCCTTACGAACAAAGTGTTTTTCTGAAGTTCTTTTGTTTCGTCACAATACACTATTTTTCCAGCTATGACCGAATTTGTTCGAACAAAAGAAGCTAAATCGCTCACAACAAGAAGACGTTGCATCGTGATGGCTGTGCAGCAGAGTGTTGTTCCGAAAGACACAGGCTGTTTATATAGCGTGGATGGTCCACAGAGGGCGGAGCTATCTCGTGGGCGGAGTTTGTGGGAGTCAGCAGTAAATGAACTTAGAAAGTGAGTGTCCCGAGCAAGTTCAAAATCTATGTCTATACATATGAACACATACACGTATATATATATATATATATATATATATATATATATATATATATATATATATATATATTTCATATGTTTGCATGCTTTATAAGTGTGTGGGCTTACGTAGGTGAGTCTGTGCATGTATATACTTATGCATATGTCCATATATGGGTATGACTTGATATACTCAGAAAAGACAGGTTGATACAGATATAGATATGTACACATATACACAGGTATGCTGTCTATTCATCCAGCGTGCATGCACACAGATACATATATACTTATGCACACACACACACACATATATATACATATACATATATACACACATACATATATATGTATATTCATAGATATACATATATACATATATATATGCACACACATATATACATGCACGTATACATAACATGCATACATACATACGTATACATATATATGTATGTATTTATATCTATATATATATATATATATATATATATATATATATATATATATATATATATATATATATATATATAATGGTGTGTGTGTGTGTGTGTGTGTGTGTGTATATGTATATACATGCACGTATACATAAACATGCATACATACATACGTATACATATATATGTATGTATTTATATCTATATATATATATATTATATATATATATATATATATATATATATATATATATTATATATGTACACACACAGACATATATGTGTGTGTGTATGAATATAATATATATATATATATATATATATATATATATATATATATATATATATATATATATATATATGTGTGTGTGTGTGTGTGTGTGTGTGTGTGTGTGTACACATATATATGCACACACACATACAGAAACATACACACTCATATCTATATATCCATACAGACTAGGGAGGCAAAATATAAGAATTCAATCTTTTAAAACCCTGATTTATCCAATGAAAGAATTAAAATGTCACCAATGCAGCCTGTGCTGTTTCGAAAATTTTCATATACACTCTATTAAAATATATTCTACTAAATTCACTGTTGCTGATCTTGTTGGGGAAATTCTCAAAATAGAGTAGTACATAATACTTTCAAAGTTTCTATCCCATGACATGCTCTTGAAACTTTATTAACTTTATTCTAAAAATACATTCTCGGTAGAGCGACCAGAGCCAGAGGTTTTAGAGGTTTAGGGAACCTCGAGAAAATGCAATTTTGACATTCCTAATTTTAATTTGAGTAGCATGACTTAATGGTCTTAAGGTTCATGGGGTGGATTGAATTCATTCCTTTATGGAGTGCATTCCAAAGACAATGGTCATAGCAGCATTTTTGGCCAATTGCTTTTTATTCTATAAACAAATGATAATAAACATGTGGTATATCACAATGTAAATCAACAATAAGCATTCTAAAGAAAACGGGATATTCTTGTTAACTAAATTCACTTCTAGGGTTACCTTTAATTACACACCCTCCCTCTGCCTACTAATTGAAAATCACTAATCAAACGTGAGGCTAGAGTGAAACTGTCAACCCCCGTTCCCCTAGTATCTTTTCATTATTTCCTTTAAGATTAAGCAATCGATCCTTCCCATCTTCCTTTCATAATGTTCCTTTCTTACACTTTATTCTGGTCTGTTGTTCCTTTTGCAATTCATTATTTGGCCAAATGGGTATTGTCTTCATGGACTAATTTCGTTGGTGTATCCACGGTCCCTCCCAAATCATAAATATTTCCTAACAACAATGCGTGTGGCATTGCTGGACTTTCCCCAGCCTTTTATCCTCTGTATTTGGGGTGAAAGTCAAAACTTGTTTGACTTATCAC